CTCACAGCTGTGAGATTGTGACCTGAGCTGAAATCGAGTCAGATGTTTAATTGAGCCACCCAGGTGCTCCTCACTTATTTATTTTTGAGACAGAGTGAGAGAGCGGGGGAGGGGCAGAGAGAGGGAGAGAGAGAGTCCCAAGCAGGCTCTGCACTGTTGGTGTAGAGCCCAACATAGGGGTCGATCCCATGAACCATGAGATCATGACATGAGCCCATGTCAGGAGTCGAATGCTCAACTGACTGAGCCACCCAGGTGCCCCAGAGACAAAGACAAAATGTTTTTTGATGACTTAATGATTTTTACATCTGAGGATGAAAGGGGTGTGTGGGGGGATGGCTCTTATTTCTGTGAACAGAGGATTGATTGATTTTGGAAGGAGGAGACAGACGATGGTCCCATTTTATCAAGACGGTTTTGTGTCCAAAAAATTAGACAGATGGTACAAACAGCAAAATTGAGAATGGAGAAAGCTCAAATAGTTGAACATCCTGAGGAGTAGCCAGAGGAGATCTGTGTCTGTTTCTTCGTGGAGGCTTTTGGAACAGAAAGCCAAGAAGTACTGGGCAGATCTGGGAAGTGTTCAAGTTTAAAAAAAAAAGCATGCTTTAAAAGACTTAGATCGAAGAAAAGCAACAGAGAGCTGGAGGGAATGAAGAAATATCAAAGTATCTTAACAGGTTGGGATTTGTCCAGACACCAAGAAGAAAGGAGAAAAGAAACTGGCCATGAAACTCATAAAAAGCCAGGAACTGTTTCTTCTAGAGAAAGTCTGGCACGGATGGTAAAGCATCAAAGCTGAGAGGGCAGCACGAGCGGTCTGAAGGACTGACCCGTGCCCCCCTGCACCAGACGTTGGCGGTGTTGCTGCTCCATCCTGTATGGTCCTGGGAAGCTTGCTTGATTGACCCTGTCATTTGCAGCCCCTTCACTTCAAGACTGAAGATCTGCTCAGGGCTGGGAATCTTCCAGAGGAGCAGAAACTCCCCAGTTGAACCTTATTAGCACCACCTGGAACGTATTTGGTGACTGACTTCCACATTATGGCCTTGTAGATCTGTACACCTTGAGCGTTACTGTGTTGTCATTGGTACGGAAAAAAGCAAGACGGCGAGTTCTGAGCTTCTCTCAAGTCCCACAAAACTAAGTCTGGCCAAAGAGACACTTTAATGAGAGACTTCCAAAGCATTTTAAATTTAGGAAACAACTCTTTCAGAACGGGCCACATTTCCATAATAAAGTTGTTAGTGTGGTTTCAGATGTTCAACGTAGCATTGATCTTCTGTGCCATATAGGTATGGGTCCAAGTGAAAAAATCTATAATACACAAGTTTGCTGAATATAAGTATGCCTTAAGCATTGTCTGAAGGCGCTTGGTGATGAAATGTAAATACATCTCACATCTAAAGTAAGAGAGTTTCGTGCCCCAAAACTGACTCGTTTGAAGCATCTTCGGTTACTGAATAGTCATCACACAGAAAAAGAAAATAAACCAAACAGACTTTAAAAGGGTTAATTTTTCTGACCTTGTTGATGTTGTGTGGATGGTGAAGACGGCATCTAGCTGTTTCTGGCACACGATTCAAAGAGCTGTCCTGCTCTGGGTGGTCCATGAAACTAGTAACTCTGGGCAGCAGGGAATGGTTAACCTGAACAAGTATGCATTGGTAGGAAACCCCCTTTTTACTCACTACTCGTTGGGGTTGAGTCTATGTTCATTAGTTCTATTTTACTTTTTTTTTTTTTAATGTTTATTTTTGAGGGGGAGAGAGAGAGAGAGAGAGCACACGTGTGAGCAGGGGAGCAGCAGAGAGAGGGAGACAGAGAATCCAAAGCAGGCTCAGGCTCTGAGCTGTCAGCACAGAGCCTGACGCAGGGCTCCAACTGACGAACCTTGAGATCGTGACCTGAGCCGAAGTCGGATGCTTAACCGACCAAGCCCCACATTAGTCCTATTGTATAGTCGAAGGGCCAGAAATTTAACCAAGGTCTCTTTTTAAAAATTATCATTGAAAACTCTGCCTTCTCTTCTATGCCATAGTTTTTCTCTACCATTGTCCAAGAAACCTTAAGGACTTGTATTTTTGGTAGTATATTGGGCTAGAGGTAAGGAGAAACTCTTTGCAGTTCAATATGTTAGAAAATGCTGGATTAAAAAATCAAAACTCTTATGTAATGGCTGAACTGAAGACAAAGTAAGGCCTTCTCAGAGGTCAGAAATTTAAGGTAACGTGAATGCATTGATAGGCTAGCATTGGAGGTGGTGCTTGTCCTAGAGTTATTTCCTGATCTTTTGGCCTAGAGTCTGGCAACAGGAAAGAAAGCTCTGGGGTTCTAAAGAAAGTAGGAAGTCACACCTGAGCCCCGTACCCCCTTCCCAAACCCAAATAAAGCTGGAACTTCCAAAAAATGACATTGTTAGTTGCCAAAAGACAGGGGGAAAGTAGATTGTTCTACCACAGAGGGAGAGTGTTGGTAAGTACCTGTCTTGATACTGGCTTTGAGGAGAGTGGACATAAAGACAAAAGTCTTCTGGAGAATTCATTATCACCAGACTTAACTCGTACAGGTTTGAGCCTGAATTTATACTACTGTTGTGACACCCCAAAAAACCAAATCAAAAATTTGGTTTAAGTGGCCTGTGTTGGTACCACTAGGCTCCCGGCAGATACAAATGCAAACTCTTCTCAA